GCACTGACACTGTACTAATGGCACTGGGCAGCAAGGGGTTAACATGTGCGGTGATCAAAGGGTTAACTGTGTGCTGTTTGTGTTTTACAGTAAGCTGTGTGAGTGTATTCCACTGTAAATACACTGCTTTGTATAGCTCTGCTATGCAGAGCCATACAAAGTAGTGTGCAGGAGCTGACGGGAGAGATCTGTGTTGTTTACGCACAGGTCTCCCCCCTCGGAGATACTTGAGTAATCACCGGTCGGGACCCAGTGATTGACAACTGAGGCCGCGAATGGCGGCGAGGGTAGGGAGCGCGCGCGCCCCCTACCTGGAACTGTAAAATCTCACACACACATACATATATATATATGATTTTGCGCACCCATGCCGCCCTGTAGCAGTATTTCTGCTATAGGATTGTGCGGAACCGGTTAAGCAATCAGTTGCATTGCAGTAGTGCAGGTATGATTTTTAAAATTGCGGCACACCAAACTGCACGGTGCTGCGGTACTATGTGCTTTAGTGGTGGTGAACCCCTCTGCGTTTGCTAGATGCATGGGGGGTGACGATAAGAATGAATGGCAACTGCGCAGAAGGATTGCAGAAGGCAGTATCTTTCTGTGGGGTGTGGGGAAATGTGCAATTGTCATCAACAAGCCCAGCGGTTCAGCAGCGGTAAAACCCTGTGGTTGAACCGCGTTTTTATCGCCCCCTCCCCAACCACTCCCCACTGCAGTGGCACACGTCATAGACACAGTGCTTCGCTTAGGAATTATACCCCCCCCCCCCCCGACGCTAAGCTCACCAAATGCAGGTGAATGGGGCCATTCTGCAACCGCCCCGCGACTGTGTGCAATGCATGTGGTTGTAACGCGCTAGTGCAGGCATGATGGCCTCATTCACATCGGACATTCAGAAACAATGATGGAAACTGACATGCAGATTTCACCTGCAGAGACATCGGTTTTCATGCACGCTTGAGCCCTGGTTCACACTGATGCGATCCGGATTTCACAGCGTTTTCTGTGCGAATTCCGCACCGCATCAGAATCGCACCCCATTCATGCGAACCACTGCGGGTGTGTAAGTTAACAACACCCCGAATACGGTCAGCAAAACGCGGTGCGATGTGCAGAATCAGATCGCATAGGTGTGAATACCTATGCGATCGGATTCTGGTGTGGATCAAAAAAAAGGGTCCTGCACGTTTTTGATGCAGTGCGATTAGAGCCATACAGAATGTACGGCTCCAACTGCACCGCACACAAATCACATGTGATTGGCACAGGAATGCAGTGCGGTTCCTGTGCCAATCACATGCGATATATCGCACTGCATGTATGTGAACCCGGGCTTTTCTACACATTGCAGATTCCTGCACAGAAAAAGATCAGCACGTTAGCAGTGTTGTGTGAACAGGACACACAGAGAACGGGATTTGTCGTGCCCTTGCAGAATGCACATGCAGGAAAACTGATGTCTGCGCACAGTGGTGTGAACGAAGCCTAAGGGGTTAAAGCAGGCGGGGAGGAGGTGGTTTTGCGCACGTCTCCGTGTGAACAAGCCCTAACACTGGCTCGGGAGTGTGGTGCCCTCTGAAGAACAATCCACATTCAGATCGCTTTTTAGATGGAATTTACCAGGCAGGGAGGAGGCATTGTTTGTGGTTATGATGGCCCCATTATACTCAACATGTGACGTTGACAAAGGGCCCCCCCGAGCAGGGGCGGACTGACCATTCGAGCACTCGTGCACTGCCTGAGGGCCTGGGGTCAGTAGGGGGCCCCATGAGATGCCCCTGGTACCTTTCATTGGCTTTTTTGGGTGTGGGCAAGGACACAGGGGCCCCATGATCCCCTATTGCCCGGTGGCCCCATGACCCCGAGGGTCAGTCCGCCCCTGACCCCGAGTTAAAAATGCCGGGGCCATGAAGCAAATCATCGTGGCCACACCATGTGAACGGCCCAGCCACTCTTATAGTTCAGGTAGGTGGCCAGGAGAAGGGAGGGGAAGTAAAAACTGTGGCTCAGCCACGTTTTCTCCCTAAGAGACCTTTGAAATTTTGTGATTTGCCCAATTTTTGGGACATTTTTTTTTCCAGTGTGCCGCCTTAACAACGCACGTAACCGCAAAGGAGGTGACAGCGGGAACATTGGCGCTGCAGAGCGCGGTACAGGATTGGCGCTGCAGAGCGCGGTACAGGATTGGCGCTGCAGAGCGCGGTACAGGATTGGCGCTGCACGGAGCCTGCAGGTACCTGTATGTGCAGCTCTGATAGCAACATATTTCACGTGTGCATTCCTCTGCAGACGAAAAAAATGGAAGGCATAGCACGTGTGTAGTGTATTGTTCATTGCCCTGCCATAGGACACTTCTGATACGTGAAGACAATGCTTCTATCTGTGGCCACAGCAACATGCATGTCATTTAACACCTGAGAGGACCATTGTATCACCTTACTGGAAGAGCCCAGCTGGCAGACACCGCCTATCACATTCAGGCTGCCTAGACACTCGATAACCATCAGCAGTTTCAATATGGCGGCTCCACCGCATGCTGCTCGGTTAAACCGGTATATACGCCACTACCGTAATCTATTCCCCCCCATCGTTAGCTACAATTGGTATCGTCGTTTAATTGACGAATGCCAGCTGGCCTGGACCATAACGCTAAAAAAGGGGTGGATATGTATACCCCTATACGGGCTGCTGTGGTTCAGCTCAGCTCCTTGCGTTGAACGAAGACGAGACCACTTGAACTATAAAAATGGGGGTGCCGGTTATAGTTGCTGAGTGACTTCCTGGACAGGGCTATCCGATGTCTGGCTGAGGGGTAGGCGGGCTCCTGGGTTCCCTTGAACACTGGCAGGGCTGTCTATGGATTCCCCCCGCAGTAGAAGGGGGATGGTGTGAGCCGGGGAGGGGAGGATTCCAGGGCTGCAGACAGTGAAGAGGGATTAGCAGGTGAGGAGGTGCAGCCTGTGTGTGGATTCTTTTATGATGATGGGGGGGGGAGGGGAGGGCTGTGTCTGTGGGGTGTCCCCTGTGTGCTGACATGGTGTCACCCCCTGTATATTTATACAGTTCTCCTTCATACTCCATGCAGTGTGCCTCCTCCATGTAGCATCTTTGTATGGCCTGCAGTCTGGGGCCCATTGGAGCTGCTCCATGCATGGACCAATCAGCTTCTTGACCTAAAAATCTGGTCAAGAAATCCCTGGGCCCCATTCACACCTGCGCCTTCCTGGAAAATGTGCATTACGCAATTTCTGAGGCCGCAGCAATGCAAAAAGGTGTGAAAAATGCACAAAAAAGTGCGCTGTGCTTGTGACTTCATTTTCTTTTTAAGGGGACAGCATTTGCACATTTTTTTTTTTTTCCACATGACAAAATGTGCGTCACCAAATTCGCATCGCTCAGTGGTGCTTCTTTGGCGCCATTTTTTGCGTGACTGGCAGGCCCAGCAAGTCAATAGTCTGCCTTGTTTAACCCCTCGCCTACCGGGCACTTATACCCCCTTCCTGCCCAGGCCAATTTCCAGCTCTCAGCGCTGTCACACTTTGACAATTGCGCGGTCATGCAACACTACCCATATGACATTTTTATAATTTTTTGAAACAGAGCTTTCTTTTGGTGGTATTTAATCACCTCTGGGATTTTTATTTTTTCTTAAACCAAAAACAACTGAAAATTGTGGAAAAAAAAAAAAAGTTTTTTTCTTAGTTTTTGTTATACAATTTTCTAAAGTGATTTTTCTCCTTCACTGATGTGCGCTAATGAGGCTGCACTGATAGGTTGCACTGATAGGTTGCACTGATGGGCATTGACAGGCATCACTGATATATGGCACTGTTATGCGACACTGACTGGCACTGATTGGCAGCAGTGATAGGCATTGATAGGTGGCACTGATGGGTGACATTGAAAGGCAGCTCAGATGGGCACTGATATGTGGCATTGATGTGCACTGATGGGCACTGACAGGTGGCACTTCTGGGGTCACACTGATCATCAGTGCCCTGATGATCAGTGTACTGTCCCCTCCGCGGAAAGCCGATTACCGGCTCTACTCCCCTCTCCTCTGTCAGCGTGACAGCTCGAGAGGAGAGAAATGCCAATAACCGGCATTTCTGTGTTTACATGTGATCAGCTGTGATTGGACACAGCTGATCACATGACCGAGCCGACATCTTCGGCTCTTTCCGAGGGACACAGCGCACCGGCGATCGCCACGCTGCGCGCTCCCTGAGCTGCGCATGCGCAGTGAGAATGGTAGGACGTCATATGATGTCCTATCAGAACGAGAAAACCACCTTGTGCTCGTCCTTGTACTATAGGGCGGGTGGAAGGTGGTTAAAAAAAAAAAAAAAAAGGCAGAAAAAGGCGCCATGCTGCTCGGGTGTGAATGCAGCCTTCTAGACCCCCCCCCCCCCTTCAGATGTAATTGGCAAATGCACGTCATGCAATAAAAACCCCACCAAGGTGCAGGCACTGCTTCGGTGCGAGTATTGCAGCTTGTTCAAGTAAGGGGCGACCTGTACTGTCCAGCGCAAACAGATGTGCGTGACGCAGAGGTGTGACTGCGGCCTCAGGCCAGGGTTATGCTATTAGTAGGTTCACACCCAAGAGTTTTGCAGAAACGCACAGCAGTCCATTTAACATGATTTCCTATGGGACACGTTCACATCTCCGCGTTTTCACCCGGTGCGTTTTTTTTTTTTAGAAAGGGTCGGGACTTTTTTAACCCCTTGCCTACAGGGCACTTATACTCCTTTCCTGCCCAGACCAATTTCCAGCTTTCAGTGCTGTTGCACTTTGAATGACGATTGCGCAGTCATGCAACACTGTACCCATATGAAATTTTTATCATTTTTTGTGACAGCTTTCTTTTGGTGGTATTTAATCACCTCTGGGATTTTTATTTTTTCTTCAACCAAAAACCACTGAAAATTTTGAAAAAAAAAAGTTTTTTCTTAGTTTTTGTTATACAATTTTGTAAATCAGTAATTTTTCTCCTTCACTGATGTGCGCTAATGAGGCTGCAGTGATGGACACTGATAGGTGGTACTGATGAGGAGGCACTGGTAGGTGGCATTGATGAGGAGGCACTGATGAGGAGGCACTGGTAGGTGGCACTGATGGGCATTGACAAGTATCACTGATGGGCACTGAAAGGCAGCACTCATATGGCACTGACGGGCACTGTTAGGTGGCACTGATAGGCAGCACTGACGGGCACTGATTGGCAGCACTGATAGGTGGCACTGACTGGCATTGATGGGTGACACTGAAAGGCAGCTCAGATGGGCACGGATATGTGGCATTGATGGGCACTGGCAGGTGACATGGATGAGCACTGACAGCTGGCACTGATGGACACTGACAGGTGGCACTGCTGGGGCTACACTGATCATCAGTGCTCTGATGAAGTGTAGATGTCCCCTCTGAGGAATGCCAATTACCGGCTCTCCTCTCCTCTGTCAGCGTGACAGCTTGTGGGGAGAGAAGTGCCGATAACCGGCATTTTCCTGTTTACATGTGATCAGCTGTGATTGGACACAGCTGATCACATGACCAAGCCGACATGTTCGGCTCTTTCCGTGATCGGTGATCGCCGCACATGTGCGGTGAGAACGAGAGAACCGCCTTGCATCTGTCATATTACTATATGGCGGGCGGGAGGTGGTTAACACAAAATGTTGCATTTTGGTTAAATAGACTTCAGTGGAGATGCTGCAAATGCATGTAGTGCGTTTTTGATGCGCTTTAATCTGCCCTGCAACGAGTTGGCAAACAAACTTGTAAAATGCTGCAAAAAGCGCTGCAAAAATGGATCAAACGCAAACTGCATAGATGTGAACCTAGCTCTACTCTTTGCATTTTGCAGAAATGCAGTACAGTCCATTTAACATGATTTCCTACGGGATACTTTCACATCTCTGCATTTTCACCCGTTGCTATTTTTTTTTATTTTTAAGAAAGCGTCAGGAACTTTTTTAAACACAAACCTGCAGAAGTGTATGTAGTGTGTTTTTGATGCGCTTAGATCTGCCCTGCAACAAGTTGGCCAAACCCCCCTCAAAAAATGCAATGCAGAAATGGATCAAACGCAAACTGCAGAGGTGTGACCCTAGCCCTATCTATCTATCCATTCAGTGGTATCCGACCCTTGGCGATTACACGGGCCATCCCTCGTAAGTGACCATTTCCATGAATTCTCTTAGCAATTATTTTTACAGGGTAGGTTGCCAGGTCTTTCCCCAACCCCTACCATGCAGGAGATCCCACATGCCCGGGGATGAAACTAGGACAATTTAGACAGGATCCAATTAACCTACCAGCATGTCTTTGGAGTGTGGGAGGAAACCAGAGTACCCGGAGGAAACCCACACAAGCACAGGGAGAACATGCAAACTCCATGCAGGAGGCGCCATGGTTGGGAATTGAACCCATGACCCATTTACTGCACGGCAGACGTGCTAACCACTAAGCCACTGTGCCGCCCGATTCTAGCCCTACCCTTTTGCATTTTTTTAGAAACGCAGTACAGTCCATTTAACATGATTTTCTATGGGACATGTTCACACCTGTGCGTTTTCACCCGATGTGTTTTTTGGAAAGGTTCAGCGACTTTTTGCCTTTCAAGAAAAAAAAAAAAAAAGTTGCATTTTTCTTTTCTATAAGCAAGCTAGTAAGTGAAGCTGGAATTGAAGGGTGGAGTGGCTGTGGCTCTAGGGATATTTTCCTTTCATCCATTGTGTGCAAGGTGCAAAGGAGAGTACTGAGGCTGGTGGGGGGAGGAGCTCGGTGGGGAAGAAGGCAGGCACCTGGGGTGTCTCCTCTCACCTGGGAAGTAGTGTTCAGCCAGCTCCTGGGCCTGACTTTGGGCTGCTCTCCCTGTAGGGCTTGGCCAGGTTACTCTCGGCCATTGGACAAAGCCAGGGCTCACTGTCAGCTACTCTGTGTGTCATCCTCATCATCTTCCCAGCCAGCCAATCTGTTATGATCCGCCAGGTGGTGCCTCCGGCGGCCCACTGGACAGACCTACCCAAAGCTTGGAGTCTAAGTCCCGGTCTGTGCTTTCACCAGGGCCCCTGATGGTGGGGATGGACTTGTAACAGACCAGGGCCAGGTCACGACCTCTGAGCAGGCCCACCAGTGGCAGAGGGAACCTCTGGGGATGTATAGGTACCGGGAGAGCCAGATGTGAGGAGGATGGCGGGACCTAGCAGGATGGGTCACGAGCAGCGGTCCCGTGGGGTAAGCGAGGTACAGAATCGGCAGGCAAAGAGTAGTCAGGTCACACGCAGGGTCAGCAGGATAAGTCAGTCCGCAGATAGGTCAAACAAGCCGGGGATCAGGAGAGGAGAAGGCAGAGTAGTCAGGGCAATCCAGGTCAAACACAGGAGAAGGCAGCGTAGTCAGGACAATCCGGGTCAAAGCACAGGAGAAGGCAGCGTAGTCAGGACAATCCGGGTCAAAGCACAGGAGAAGGCAGCGTGGTCAGGGTCAATCAGGGTCAAAATGCAGGTACAGGAACTCAGGATCACAGATGGACCTTGCGGCAATTTGTGACAGTGCAGGGCATCTTTAAATATTGCGCCCTGCACTGTCATTGGCCGCCCAGGACGCGCCCCCGGGCTGTCATTGGCCGCCCGAGGCGCACCCACGGCTCCTACTGCGCATGCGCGGCGTCCTGTCAGCTGAGGCCCGCCGGGACCTGGTGCTTGTGTCCCGGCGTGAGCCGCCGCTAGTGCGCGTGCGCTGGAAGAGGAGCCGCCGCGATCCCTAACACAATCGGAGAAGCCGCTGGTCCTAGCTCCCTTCCTGATTGGGGGAGGGTCAAAAGGGGACGGGAATATCTGGCCAATGGGAGAGGGGAGCGTGGGAATCTCTGGCCAATGGAGAGGGGAGCTGCTGACAGGCTGTCCAATCATTGCTTTCCCACACAAGGTAGGCATGTAATACATGGCCAGTGGAGGAGAGAAGATGAGGCGCTCAGTGGGCAGCTGCCCAAGGAGTTGATTACGCCTGATGACATCAGTGGATAGGCTGGCGGGAACCTGGGCCCCAGGATGCGATTTCTGGTTGCTGTGGTGACCTGGCGCCCGAAATGTGTTCAGCCCTGTTCTAAGAGCAGCACGATTTGACTGCGGGTGTGGGAACAGATGCAATTCTACCACCTGCAACCGGCCCGTACAGCGTGAACCAAGGCTTAATCGCTCCTCAAGTATCTAAGGAAAATGTGCTCTGCAGGAGAGTGCTCATTCCTTAGGCACCATCTCAGCATCTAACAAATCTCACATGTGAAGGGACACGGAAAAAAAGAATGGACACAAGCTTCCAAATGTTCCATTATGCACCCCTGGGAGACTTTCCTAAATAGGGTTTTTGGCAGGGGTGAGGGGTTCAGATTTTTGACTCGATAGCTGGAGTCACAGGTCCTAATGCACGCACCCAAGGGTCAGAAGAGAGCTGTGTGTAGGAGCATTCTGCTTTTAAAGCCGCAGTAAAGTCCACTTTTTCACTTTTATTTACAGGTAAGCCTAAAATAAGGTACAGTGAATATCTCCTACATATGCACCTTGTAAGGGGAAAAATTCACTTTTGTATCAGCTGGCGCAAGCAGACTGCGCTCTGAATGGATGGCACACCCAATTGGCTAGACAAAGTGACCAGACTCTCTATAAAGTACTGATGGTGCTCTGAAAATGTTGGCCATGATGGTGAAAGAATGATTAAAGTTTGGACAGTTCTAACATGATAACGTTATGTCCGCTTCCTTTGTGTAGGGCAGAATGAGTGACTGTAACCAGAACCCCCGCCGCTGTCCCCACACTTTTGCCGGACGTGCAGGGGGATGGACGCTGGATGTCTATGGTGAGTTGTGCATTTTGTTTACCCGCTTAATTCTGACACTTTTGTTTACAAGTACAAAGTATTTTTTAGAAAATTGCTTAAAACTCCCAAACAATATATATATATATATATATAGTGTGTGTGTGTAAACTATATAATATATGTGTGTATGTGTAAAAATATATATAATCTATTTTTTTAAATAGTTTTGCCTTCAGCAAGTGAAATGCATGCTCAATTGGGTTGAGATCAGGTCATTAACTCGGCCATTGCAGAATATTCCACTTCTGTTCCTTCAAAAGCTCCTGGGTTGCTTTTGCAGTGTGTTTTGAATCTTTATCCATCTGTACTGTGAAGCGCCATCCAATCAACTTTGCTGCATTTGGCTGAATCTGGGCTGACAGTATATCTGTAAACACTGCAGAATTCATCCGGCTGCTTCTGTCACATGATCAATAAACACCAATGACCCAGTGCCACTGGAAGCCACACATGCCCATGCCATCACACTGCCTCCACCATGGTTTACAGATGACGTTGTGTGCTTTGGATCAGGAGTTGTTCCAAGCCTTCTCCACACTTTATTCTTCCCGTCATTCTGGTACAGATTAATCTTAGTTTCATCCAAAGAATGCTTTTTCCAGAACTGGTTTGGCTTTTTTAGATGTTTTTTGGCAAAGTTTAATCTGGCTTTTCTATTCTTCAGGCTTATGACTGGTTTGCACCTTGTGGTGAACCCTCTGTATTTGCTCTCGTGAAGCCTTCTCTTGATTGTAGACTTTTGACAATGATACACCCAACTCCTGGAGAGTGTCCTTCACTTGTCTGGATGTTGTGAATGGGTTTTTCTTTACCATAGAGAGGATCCTGCGATCATCCACCACTGTTGTCTTCCATGGACATCCATGCCTTTTTATGTTGCTGAGCTCGCCTTGCATTCTTCTTTCCTCAGAATGTACCAAACTGTTGATCTGGCCACTCCTAATATTGCTGCTATCTCTCTGATGGATTTGTTTCATTTTTGAATCCTTACAATGGCCTGTTTCACTTGCATGGAAAGCTCCGTTGAACGCATGATGTAGGTTCACAGCAATAGATTCCAAATGCAAAATACCACACTTAGAATTAATTCCAGACCTTTTACCTGTTTAATTGATGAAGAAATAACGAAGGAGTAGCCCCACACCTGGCCGAGAAACAGCTTTTGATTCAATTGTCCAATTACATTTTGGTCCCTTGAAAAAGGGGGGGGCTACTCTTAAGCTGTAATTCCTAAACCCTTCTTTAAATTTGGATGTACATACCCTCAAATTAAACCTGAGAGTGTGCACTTTCAGCCCATATCCATTATAGAACTATAGCTTGAATATGTTTTGGTAAATACCTGTAAAAAATGTAAAATTGTGCCTGTGTCCACATATATATGGACCTGACTGTATGTTTTGTGGTCTTCAAGTGGTTGCTTTGTTGTTTACTTTGTCTCAACATAAGATTACCAGTCGCCCAAAGCTTGTCATATGCTGTCAGATTTTCTTTTTTGTTCACCTAGTAGGCTGAACAAAACGCCGAACAGATTTCTCCATGTACATACATGAGGTGGATGGAGGGTTTATAATTTTTGGTTATAAACTAATTTGGTTTTTTTTTTTTTTCCCTAAAAAGATAACTGAAATTTTGGCCAAGATTTATGAAGAAAGAGATTATTTTGTTTGCAAAATTTTATAAAAAAAAACACTACTTTTTCTAAATTTTTGGACTTTTTCATTTATATAGCAAAAAAAAAAATATAATAAAAATCCCAGTGGTGAATAAATACCACCAAAATAAAGCTTTATCTGTCTCAAAAAAATGCTAAAAAAATTCATATGGGTACAGTGTTGCATGACCGCGCATTTGTCATTCAAAGTGTGATAGCACTGAAAGCTGAAAAGTGGCCTGGACTGGAAGGGGGTGAAAGTGTCCGGACTGGAAGTGGTTAAAGAAGAAAGCACACATTCCTGAAGGGGCTTCTTCATTTGGTCAGTTTGTAATGGCGTTCCTATAGAATGAAGTCGGCTAAGGTAACCAGACTTTAGGACTCATTCTTGCATATTATTGAGCCATAATTATAAGGAAATATGAAACTGGGCAGTGGAAACTCCATATTAATGCCCCTGGTTTTTGAATTGGATGTCCTACAAGATCATTTAGTCATTATAGGAGTTGATTTACTAAAACTGGAGAGTGCAAAATCGGGTGCAACTCTACCTAAAAACCAGTCGGCTTCCAGGTTTTATTGTCAAGCTTAATTGAACAAACTGAAGTTGGAAGATGATTGCCTACCGTGCAGAGCTGCACCAGATTTTGCACTCTGCAGTTTTAGTAAATAAACTCCGTATTGTAGGGGAGAATGTGTGAAAAGGGCTTCACGTGCTTGCTCAAATGTAGAATACCATATTGTATAATGTACATGACTGAAAATAAAGGAAACCGATTTCACAACCACTTTCCTTTTTAATGGCTTTTGTTGTTTTTTTTTGTGTCTTGCAGCACAATCACTTTGTGTCAAGCAGCAAAGACAAGGAGCCTGAGGTCGTGTTCATAGGAGATTCTAATGTCCAGCTGATGCATCAGTTCGAGGTAAGTGTATGTCAAGGCCAGAACAGTTTTTCTAGTTTTGGATTGAGTGAGGAAGGTGTAAAACCCGTTTTTTTTACTGCTATCCGGGGGCTCCAGTTAGTGTTAATAAAGGTAAATATTTTTTTTTTCACTAAAATAACAAATATTTGAGTGTTGAGTTATTTTGAGGGGACAGCAAATTTACATGTTATACAAGCTGTACACTCACTACGTCACATTGTAGCAAAGTGTCATTTCTTCATTGTTGTCATGTTAAAACATATAATACAATATTTACAAAAATGTGAGGGGTGTACTCACTTCTGTGAGATTCTGTAGATAGATTTCTGTACAACCATCCTACCCATACATGGATCAAAATTCAGCTGGTCCCTGCTGAACTGGATGAATCTCAATACATGTATGGTCTGGCATCAGACAGGAATTAAAGGGAAAGGCTAGGTTTACATCTATGCAGATTGCGATTGATGCTTTTTTCTAGTTCATTTTTCCCTAATCCTCTTCCAGGACAGCTACTTGAGAGGCTCATTCCACCTATACAGGAAACACATGAACCACATTACTTAAAAAGGGGCACCCCGGTGCTCGACTCTGTGTTTCTTCAGGCTGGAGAGGACACACTTTGGTTTCTTTACTTTATCCAGGCCTTTGTGCTAGGCGTACAGTGGGGGCCTCCATCTTTTTGGTGGGATCTGTCATGACCTGGGAAGCATCACCAGATCCACAGCGCTGCGGAGGACCACAGGTGCGGGGGTGAAGGCCAACCTCCCCACTTTAAATGGCAGGAAATTGGCGTGGCCCGGAGGGTCTGCTGTGGCCAGGTGCCAGCATGAAGTCAGATCTGGTGGAGACCGAGGAGGCGGCCACAAAGGTAGGAAGTTAGGAGTGTCTCCTAAATACTTCTACCACTTCTGTCTTGTGTAATTCCTTCTTAGCTGGTGGAGGGGGCACTGGCTGGAAGAGGGGAGCTTCTCTCTCTCGGGCAGGGGCGTGAGTGGCTAAGCCCTGGTTAAGGGTACTGGCAGGCTTCACTGGCGTAAGGTGCTGAGCACTTTCTCTTATCTCCTTTTTAAAAGGTCACTTTAGTTTTGTTGCTGTTGCAGACAAACCCCCAGAAGGAGAAAAAAAGAGCTGTCTTCAGGCAAATCATCCAAGAGACTCTGTGCATCATGTAAAAGGAAGATGTCCAGCTCTTGAAACAAGCCACTGTGTAAAGACTACATAGACAGTGAAGGAGTCCAGTAGCATATTGAAAGTTTTCATGGGGAGTCTTGAGCATGAGTTGGCACTTTTCAGTCTTTGAGAACCCTTATGGATAAGTCAGCCCACGGTGACACAATACCTAGCTCTTCCAGCGAGGGGTTATGCGCAGCTGTTCCTAGCCCAGCTATAGTAAGGGAGGAACAGAGCTCATCAGATGACTCAGACACAAATGAAGAGGGTATGTAAATAAGATATGCAGCGCTAATAAAGTTAATAGGAACAAGTGGAAAATTAGAACATGAATAGCATAATAACATATGTGAAAGAACTCAGTCCATATCGCATGGTGAGATAAAGTGATAGGTGCAATTGTCCAAATAATCCATGTTCAGAGATAATCGTGACTCTTGTGATCTCGTGATTGTACAAATAATGCACTAACCAGATAGCGCAAGAGATGCGCATGGAGCAATTAAGACCCGCTCCTGGTGCTCTGGACTTGTGATATTAGGAGGATGTCATCTGCAGGTTGGCCACCAGATGTCATCAATCCAGGTATATTCGTAAGTCATCCACCAGAAAGATCATCAGCGGGGGAGGGGGTGATCACACATCATTCCCAACCAAACGGAACCTTCAAAAGCGGGCTCCCATACAATAGATGAGACCCAAAGAAGCTTCTGATAGTGTAGTATATCTTTAATAAGCAAAACTTACAGCACGTACAGTTTAAGGATAAACTTGCATCCAAAAAAAGAGTCTGGCCACCAGGGTGTCAGTCAGGATAGCCTTGTGGTATGGGTACACAGGTCAGGGGCACCTTCTAACGCGTTTCGTGTGAATAACACTTCCTCAGAGGGAAGTGTTATTCACACGAAACGCGTTAGGAGGTGCCCCTGACCTGTACCATACCACAAGGCTATCCTGACTGACACCCTGGTGGCCAGACTCTTTTTTTGGATGCAAGTTTATCCTTAAACTGTACGTGCTGTAAGTTTTGCTTATTAAAGATATACTACACTATCAGAAGCTTCTTTGGGTCTCATCTATTGTATGGGAGCCCGCTTTTGAAGGTTCCGTTTGGTTGGGAATGATGTGTGATCACCCCCTCCCCCGCTGATGATCTTTCTGGTGGATGACTTACGAATATACCTGGATTGATGACATCTGGTGGCCAACCTGCAGATGACATCCTCCTAATATCACAAGTCCAGAGCACCAGGAGCGGGTCTTAATTGCTCCATGCGCATCTCTTGCGCTATCTGGTTAGTGCATTATTTGTACAATCACGAGATCACAAGAGTCACGATTATCTCTGAACATGGATTATTTGGACAATTGCACCTATCACTTTATCTCACCATGCGATATGGACTGAGTTCTTTCACATATGTTATTATGCTATTCATGTTCTAATTTTCCACTTGTTCCTATTAACTTTATTAGCGCTGCATATCTTATTTACATGTTCTCATTTGGGTCCCAAGGTTACCTTTTATGCTAGCTGCTTTATTCCTACGTTCCCAGCGCTCTATTATCAACTTATACAAATGAAGAGGGGTCAGACTCGGAAGAATGGGAAATTTGTGAAGAGAAGGTGAAAACATTTTTATTCCCCACAGAAGATCTGTTAAAGGCTATTCATGATACGTTGGGGTTTGAGGAAAAAGAAAAGGTGCTCACACTCCACAATCAACTTTATGCGGGGCTTCAGAAGAAACAGGTCCGCATTTTCCCAGTACATTCCACACTGAAGGAAACCATTTTAAGGAAATGGCAGGAACTAGATAAGAAGGCTTTTCTCCCTAACAATAGGAAAAGGTTTCCATTCAAAGAGGAGGACTCAGATTTATGGGAAAAATGCCCTCATCTGGACGCATCCTTGGCCAAAGTATCCAGGAAATCCAACCTGTCATTCAATGACAGTGGAGCACTGAAGGATCCTATCGACTGAAAGGCGGATGGATACCTTAAGCAAGCATGGGAGGCCAGTACAGCAAACTTCAGGCCAGCGTTGGCCACGACTTGCGTAGCGCGCACACTCGATGTATGATTGTCCCATCTAAAAGCCCACCTAGTGAAGGGTACATGATGGCAGATGCTTTGTCAGAAACTATCAAATTAACAGCCAGATCTACTGTCCTGTTAAATATGGTGAGAAGAGCGATCTGGCTGAAGACATGGCAAGGAGATCAAGCATCCAAAGCCTGCCATTCGAAGGGAACCTACTTTCAAGATCAGAGCTTGTGTCCGTGCTGGAGAGATCAATATATAGAAAAAAGGGGTTCCCAGTGCCAAAGAAACAAGCAGGGAAGACTTTTTTTCATCGTTCCAGTCAACAACGGGTGTTCAAGGGACAGTCAGAGATGGGGAAGAAAAAAAAAAAACTGGACCTTAAAGAAAGAGAAGGATAAAGGAGGGTTCCTATTCAATTCCTCCCAGTCTAAGAACAAACCCCAAGCCCAATGACTGGGGGCGGGGGGAGTGGGAGGAAGACTGAAAGCTTTCCTGCCCACTGTGTGATTGAAGCAACACAGGACCAGTTTAATCTAGACATAATCCGATACGGGTATTGTATAGAACTCTCAGGAATCCCCCCTCAAGGATTTTTGGCAACTCCTCTGCCCAAACCGCAAGACAAAGCAAACGTGCTCCTGGTACCTCTGCAAGAAATGTTACAACAGAATGTAATTTCTCTGGTTCCAGAAGAAAAAAACAGGGAAGGTTTCTATTCTCATCTCTTCTTGAGGAATAAACCTTCAGGGAGCTTCAGAATGATTCTGAGCCTGTGGCAGGTGAACAAATTTGTCCAGTACAAAAATTTCAGGATGGAATCAATATATTCAATCAAAGAATTGACACCGGAGGGCTCCTTCATGGAATCTCTAGATCTCAAAGATGCCCACCTGCATGTTCCCATCAGGGAAGAATCAAAGAAATATCTGCGGTTCGCCATAAAAGGACCCGCAGGGATAGTATGTTTTCAGTTCAACGCCCTTCTATTTTGGTCTCTCTAGCACACTGAAATTTTACCAAAGTGCTGGCTGGAATCCTGAGACTGAAGGGCCTGGAAGAAATTCCTTACCTGGATGATCTCCTGATTTTTTGCGGACACAGCAGTTTGGACAATAAAAAATCTGGATATAGTGAAAACTTACCTCCAGGAGACAGGCTGAATTGAAAATGTGGAGAAATCACAGTTAATTCCCTCAAAGAAACTCGTTTACCTGGGTTACATTCTGGATTCAGGATCATTTAAGGACCTTCCTGACAGAGAAGAAGGCCCGGAACCTTCAGCAAGGGGTAGTGGAGTTCTTGCTGTCAGCAGAATGCTCAATAAGAGAAGCCATGAGGCTGGTCGGCTTGATGACTGTTGCAATCCCTGCAGTTCAATGGGCGAAGCTACACTCAAGACCCTTACATAACTACACTCTGTCAAAGTGGGATGGCCTTCAGCAATTTCTGGACGCAAAGAAATGCATACCAGAGTCAGTGAAGAATTCCATCAAGTGGTGGCTATCCCCACAAGTTTTGACAATAGGTCGAGCTTGGGAGACAAACTCCATAAAGATTACCACAGATGCATGTACCTGGGGTGGGGAGCTCTCCTAGGCGAACATCTTACACAAGGTAGGTGGAATCGTGTTTGGACATCCTACTTCTCCAACACCAGGAGCTAAAGGCAATAGGGGAAGTTCCAGATAGAGGCATTGAAATTGCTGATTCAGAGAAAGCACATTCAGATCCTGACCGACAACAGCACTGCTGTCATCAATTGTCAGGGAGATACAAGGTCAAGCAACCTGATGTCAATAGCGGAGGAAATTCTCTGGGTAGAGCAGAATCTGCTGTCGGTAACAGCAATACATGTGAAAGGGGAACTGAATTACCTGGCAGACTGTCTGAGCAGGTATCAGTTGAGGCAAACAGAATGGTGCCTAAACCAAGAGGTCTTTATACAGAAGCGGGGAACTCCAGAAATCAACCTTTTTGCCTCCAGGAATAAGAAAGTGGAAAAATATTTCTCTCTACAAAGGGACAGACACAGTCTGGGAACAGATGCTCTTGCTCATCAATGTAACAGGAAACTGCTATACGCTTTCCCTCCCATCCGATTAATTCCCAGGGTAGTCCAGAAGGTATGGAGGTCAAATGCCAAGATTGTTCTGGTGGCACCTTTTTGGCCCAAGAGACCTTGGTTCTCGACTCTATACAATATGAGCTGGAACATCCCTGAAGGTTACCGCAAAGATCAGAACTTATTTATCAGGCAGGAATACATCACCCAATAGTGGAGAGACTATCCCTTTCAGCGTGGCTACTGAAAGGGAGCTCTTGCAATAGATGGGACTCTCGCACAGAGTAATAGATACTATTCTGCAAAGTAGGAAGAATTCCACTAATGCTATTTATGGGAAAGTCTGGAAAAAAATTTTAGCATGGAGGGAGGATAAGGACCAAACCAGCAACTCTGTGGTTAATTACGTTTTAGAATTTCTGCAAGATGAGGCTGAAATTCACTTAGCTGCAAGCACTCTCAAGTTCAGGTAGCGACCCCTTTCAGTTCTCTAGAAATATGTTTAGCGGAAGTTCCCTTCATGAAAAGATTCCTACTTTTGGTTTCCAGAAAAAAAGACTCGGCGCAGTGTGAAGTTTCCTTCATGGGATTTGGGCATGGTCCTCAGAGGGTTTCAAAAAGCTCCTTTCGAACCTTTGGAGGAATGTTCAATGAATCTAACTTTTAAAACCGTTTTACTAGTAGCCCTAGTTTTCGCAAGAAGGATTGGAGAGATACTGGTTCTTTCGGTAGCAGAGCCATATTGTTCCATCTTTATAGACCGAATTGTGCATTCTTTAGATCCAGCCTTTCTCCCCAAAGTTGTATCAGAATTCTATGGACCGCAAGAGATTATCATTCCTTCCTTTTTATGGCAACTCCAAGGGTCAAAGAGAAACAGATCTCAACAAATTAGACGTAAGGAGGTGTTTGATCACCTACATAGAAAGCATAAAAGACTGGAGAAAATCTTCCAATCGATTTGTCTTGTTCAGCGAGTCCAAGAAGGGCAATAAAGCTTCAAAGAATACTATAGCTAGATGGATGAAGCAAACTATAGAAGAAAGCTACCGAAGACCGTTCCTTATTCCTCCTGGGGGTGTTAAAGCTCACTCTGCCAAAGCTATGGCTGCTTCCTGGGCAGAAAAAGCAGGTGCCTTCCCCTAGTTAGATTTGCAGGGCAGCCACTTGGTCTAGTTTCCTCACCTTCGCAGGGCACTATCGGTTGGAACTACTGTCTACAGCAGACCAGAATTACGGGAGGAAAGTCTTGCAAGCAGGAGTACCGCCCTGAGCAGGTAATGCTAACCTATCCTCTCGAGCAGCTGTCCTGGAAGATGATTAGGGAAAACCAAGTTATTACCTGTTAACTGTATTTCTCGGAATCTTCCAGGACAGCGTCTATTCCCTCGTGATTTTTTTGGTCTTGGGACATTTTGAGTTTGTCGATACGTAATAATGTTATGTTCTTATGGTCCGTTGTGGCCCTCTTATGGTCCGTTGAGGGTCCAGCACTGGGAGGCCCCTTTTTAACTAATGTGGATCATGTGTTTCCTGTCTAGGTGGGAGGAGCCTATCTCTTGAGTAGCTGTCCTCTAAGATTCCTGGAGTTACAGTTAACTGGTAATAACTTGGTTTTCGGGTTTTAATTTATTATTTTTGCATTGTGTGACTTTAGCTGGTTAAGGAGCAGGCGGCCGCCAGCATCCTCAACAACCAGTAAATACCATGGAAGTTGCCGTGTCCTTTACAACCTATGAGTCGTCAGCGGGGTTAAACAAAACAATTACCGGCAATTAAGAAATCGGGAAGAAAATTGTCCTCGGTGTTCCCCCCCCCCCCCCCCCCCAATCCATACCAGGCCCAAAATGATGCCACAAGGGGGATGGGATCAAGAACTGTCAGAAGGCAGGAACCAGCATCTGGTGATGTCACAAGGTGCTTTGGAAGAGGGAGGGGGATATGCTCAGACATGTGGCCTGGTATGGTTTGGGGTGGGAGGATGGCGCTCACAAAAAAAAAAGTGCATTTAGTATTTTTTGTGTAAAGATGAAATTATCCTTTAAGAACGCCGGTGGCCACCCACTCTTCAAGAACCAGTCAAGTAAAGCACAAACCGCAAAATGAAACATGCATCAAAAACCCAACGCTTGCATTTTTTTTTTTTTCCATTGAAGTCTATTACACACAAACCGCAATCTCCTATAGGAAAAAATGTCCCTAACTCTGCGTAAAAATCCACACCGGTTCAAAACGCACAGAAGTGAGCTAGATCCATAGGAAATCATGTTAAATGGACTGTAGTTTGTTTCTGCAAACCGGGAAATGCACTGAAATGCAGATACTTGTTAACCTAACCGAAAACAAATAACCTTTCCCTACTCTATCCAAAATGAATAAAAGTTTTGCATTTAGGAGAATGAGAGCGCGGCTCAGAGCCTGCACTTCCATACATATTCTGCTTCTTGAATGACAGATTGCATGGAACTCACTGTAGAGTTCTTACCCTGTTAGAAGCTCCTTTTCACGTTTTCCCTTTCCTGTGCATCAGCTTGGTTAGCAGGGATTTCAACTCTGATTATGATTTCTCTTTTTTGGTTAGTGGGTGAAAGGATATATATACTGGCCTAGAGCACTACATTCATCATGATGCCCGGTGTTATGGTGCCTGTTTTTTTGTTTTTTTTTTTTACCATCAGATTTGGAGGGAGCTCTTCTCCCCTCTGCACGCCCTGAACTTTGGAGGGTTGGGCGAGGGCACCCAGCATGTGTTATGGAGAATGGAGAACGGGGAACTGGAACACATCAAACCAAAGGTGAGTTTTGGATGCTGAGACGCAAATCTATACAAATATTGTCCAATATTAATAGCTTGTATAGACCAGCTTTGTTTTCCTGCACTGTGGTTTGATCGTAGGTCTGCAGATTTCTATTTATTATCAATGTGCAGTGTGGATGACTGTTCTAAAGGGTTCTTTTTGACCTGTTTTGTGCTTCCTTGAATGCACCAGGTCCTTTTTTTAAGGTCTGTTTATATTGCAGGAGAAAGTAGGTTAAACACCCGAATGTGGATGTGATTAATTACTGCTACATTCTAATTCAAAGCCCATCTGAAAATGCTGCTGTACGGCGGACACATGGGATGACAGAAGATCTACAATGTTTGTAAAAGAGAAGGCAGATGCACTCCAAATTAGAAGCCATGGGTAACGAATAATCTAGTGCAGGGGTCTACAAACTATGGCCCTCCAGCTGTTGAAGTACTACAAGTCCCATCATGCCTCTGGAAGTCTTGCCTGTGGTTGTCAGGCTTGCAAGGCCTCATGGGACTTGCAGTTCTTCAGCACCTGGAAGGCCATAGTTTGGAGACCCCTGATCTAGTGCAAGACAAACCACCTGAGCTCAGCCGCTAGCGCGTTTCACTTGTGTGTTGGACCATTCATTGCATTTTTAACTATGGCTTTTAATTTGGAGTTTAGTTGCCTTTTCTTTTACTAACCTTGAAGTCTGAGGTGGAGAATGAACCACTGTGGAGCCAGCACCCAGTCTGGGGTGTACGGGATTAAAGCGGAGCTCCAGCCAAAAGGGGAAGTTCCGCTTTAAGCCTTTGTCCCCTGCTCCCCATTAACCAGTGCACGGGTGGGTTGCCGTTCACAAACGGCGCCCGCCATTTTAGTCTGTGCACGCTCCCTGGGAGCGCGTAGCACCTCGATCTGGTGCCACTGTGTCCTCTGGACACAGCGGAACACCGATCGCTGTTTGGGACCTCTGTGTGAGGTCCCAATCGTGATCCACTGATTGGCCAATCAGTGATCACATGAATAGTAGTAAGCAAGATGTCACTTCTGACATCATTGCTTACTACGTGCGAAATCTATAAATGATCACATGGTACAGGGCTATTCGCAACAGCCTTGTACCATCTGACAAGCTGTGACCAATCACAGCTCTCACAGTATTTCTCAATGGCTGCAAGAATGCAGCCAGAGAGAAGGAGAAATTATTGCTTTTACAGCCTTTATGGGTGTAAAAGCAATGTGTAAAGAAAAAAAAAAAAAAAAAAATCACCCCCACAAGTAGTACAGTGTCAGTATGGTGACACTGTACTGCTAGGGAGACAGTATGTTAAAAGAAAAAAAAAATATGTAAAAAAAATTTTTGGTAATAAACTAATTTGGATTTTTTTTTTTTTTTTTTACTAAAAAGATAACTGAATACATTTTGGCCAAGATTTATGTAGAAAGATTATTTATTTGCAAAATTTTATAAGAAAAACACTTTTTTTCAAAATTTTTGGACTTTCATTTATATAGCAAAAAAAATAAAAATCCCAGTGGTGACTAAATACCACCAAATAAAGTTTTTGTATCCGTCTCAAAAAATGCTTAAAAATACATATGGGTTCAGTGTTGCATGACCGCGCAATTGTCATTCAAAGTGTGACAGCGCTGAAAATTGGCCTGGACAGGAAGGGGGTGAAAGTGTCCGGACTTCAAGTGGTTAAGGATTGGCACCTTTTGGGGGAGGGGTGTGTACCCCCTTTTGGGTGTGTACCCGAAATTGACAGGTACCCGCTCCCACTTCCGCTGCGATCGCCTGGTCGATTGGAAGTGGAAGTTGTCCACCCCGCCCTCCCTGTAGTCTTCTGGGACACGTTACAGGTCCCAGAAGACTATGGGACCATTTACATAGCGCAGCACTTCATGCGCAATGGGCACCCGACTGTGAAGCTGCAAGCTGTTGCAGCCGGGTGCCCACACTGAAGATGCCGGCGCCAGGGAGACAAGACGGCTGGTGAAACCAGCAGTGGTGAGGACACCGCTGGACCGAGGAACAGGTAAGTGGCTGTATTTTAAAAGTCAACAGCTACAGTTTTTGTAGCTGCTGACTTTTTTTTTTTTTTTTTTTTTTTAGGTAGAACTCCCCTTTAAGTATATACAGCAGTAAATGTCTAAAGGCAAGATGCAGTCTCAGTGATGTACTTGTACATTTATTTTGTATTCTTTGATTTCACAGATTATTGTGCTTTGGGTGGGCACATTCAACCAGGGAAACACTGCGGAGCAGATTTCAGGGGGCATTCAAGCCATTGTCCGATGCATGCAGCAGAGGCAGCCTCAAGCTAAGGTCATGGTGCTGGTGAGTGCTGCAGATTATGACAAGTCGGCATGTAACATGTGACAATTTGGTGCAAATCACAATAGAAATCTATCTCTATGGAAAGTCAGGATGTGGTGAACAGCTGCTGGAGTCAACCTTTTACATGACTATTCTTGCACTATAGAAAACTGTGGCACCCTAAAATAATTTGTATCTCTGTCAAAATTTTTTTTTTTTTTCCACAACTTAGGCAGTTGCCATTGCTGGCCTCCTGAAAATGCTAGTTACCTGGCTGGGTCTGGCTTTAATACTACAGAGTCACAGAAGTCTAACAAAAATTGCTTGAGTGGGAACAATCATTCCACTATGCAAGGGTGTAAATGGAGCCTTAAAGGGTTACCAAACCCAGTACCCTGCATTCACTATGGTCGCCCCGGACCCTGCATTCACTATGGTCGCCCCGGACCCTGCATTCACTATGGTCGCCCCGGACCCTGCATTCACTATGGTCGCCCCGGACCCTGCATTCACTATGGTCGCCCCGGACCCTGCATTCACTATGGTCGCCCCGGACCCTGCATTCACTATATCTGGTCTCCCACAGTACACACTACATGTAAATACAATTATTTTAGCAAATATAAACTGTTAAATACTTTTTCTCATCAGCAGTATACTGCAGTCTTGTGACTGCTATAAGTGTTCAGCAGAGAACATGTTAAAGCTTGTAGGAGGCGGTTTTCTTTCTGCTATAGGAGGATGCAGAACCCCTGAGCTCTGTCTAGACAGTTCTGATTGGCTCTGTGCTGATCACATGCACTCTCCCAAGAAAAAAAAAAAAAAAAAAAACCTGTCTAGTACATAGGACATATTGTGTGGAGACACACTGCACATCAGTAGATAAGAGGGAGGCACTGGAAGAAGGGGAGGATCTGAGAACACAGGATCAAACAGCCTTTTTACACAATGCAGAGGATTAACCCCTTAGGTTCCACAGTGAGTATAACAAGCATGCTTTACTGCATATACAGACTGATTGTACTGTTGTGGGTTTAGTAACACTTTATATTGCCATTAAAACAGCCTAGCCTTACAGCGGGCCTTGGAGGCTGCGGTACTCTATACCAATTAGCTGGTGACAGATCCGCTTAGCCCAGGTTCATGGGGCTCCGGCGTTTCGACGCAGATGGAGGGCACAGGTGTGCCATCCAGCCCTTATGCTGGGCATCAACATTTATTCGGGTCTGACACTTGCTGGGGCTGGGTGGTGCACCTAGCTGTACTTGCTTTTAGTGCAGTATATGGTCACATAGGAAAAGATTAGGGAGAGTTCAAGGGCTGCTGAAAAAAATGCAGAAAAGCTTCTGAACGTACATGAACCCTAACTGCTACATCGGCAGGACCACTTCGTCTGTTGGAAAACAGCAGACTTGCTGGCCAGATAACCACGTCAAAATTAGGGAATGAAAGCCTTAAAAAGAAAACTAATGCAGCCATCACATCTAAGAATTGGTAACCTGCAATATAATTAAATGTTTGCTTTTGGGTTTAATACCTCTTTAAAACTGGAGGGGCTACCTTACTGGTTATATTTAGAAAAAAACCGACTCCATTCTTTTGGACATGTAAAGAAAATGGGAGCTTGGGTTGGATTGCGATACTCTACTGACCTGCTTTCCTTGTTTTTTTTTTTTTTTTTTGCAGGGTTTGCTGCTGCCACGAGGGAAAAACCGGAACCCCTTACGGGACAGGAATAAGCAGGTGAATGAGCTCCTAGCAGAAGCCATGCCCTCAATGCCCAACGCCATGCTGTTGGATGTGGATCCTGGGTTTGTGCATTCTGATGGCACCATCAGTCACAATGACATGTATGATTACCTTCACCTCAGCCGCCAGGGATATGCTCGCATCTGTCAGCCTCTGTACAAAAAACTGCTGCAGCTGTTGGAGGGTAGAGGGGTGCCAGCTCAACACTAGTGAACAGGACCAAACGGTTACCTAGAATTGGGAATAACCTGGAATAATTCCAGAGGAGGGTGAGACTGGTCTCTAAAAGGCTCCCCTCTTATACTTCTCCAAAGATAAGGTTGAAGGGAATATGGTAGTAATCCTGCCTGGGTAAGAGCAGTGCAATAACTTTATCATTCCACCAGGGGGTGCTGTCTTCCCACATTAACACTTAATATCCACTGCCTCTGGGGTGGACAGGGACCGCTCCCTCCTTGCCCCCCTGAAACCCTTCCCCATCCCTAACCAGCTGCAGCTTTACTTCCAAACTAGTTTTCATATATATATATATATTTTTTTTTTTTTTGCAAAAAGGTGCAAGCTGTTTGTTGAAACAGGTGCAAGTTTTTCCTTGACTCCTACCTCTAGACAAAGGGAGTTTTGATGAAAAGGCATTATGGACGCGGTCCTCCAGGAACATCCTGCACTTGTTTTAGGAAATGATTTGAATGCAAGCAGCTAGCTGGCAGGAGACCATTTGTTTAGTACTACACTTCGTTTTTGTTTTTATGTCCTTTTGTACAGTTAATCCTGTTTGCTTTTGTACATTACAGTGAGAATTAATGTTTTTTTTTTTTTTTTTTTTTTTTGGTTTTTTTTTTTTTTTCTTTTGTTCTTGACCCTGATAAGACCTTTTATGTACACAGCAAAAAGTGTGATTCCACTATACCTGGAAGATTTGTCACTTAAATCACATAATAAATGTGTTGTGACTCTTCTTTCTTTCTTTTTTTTGATTTGTACAGAGTAAAAGATTACGTTCCCTAATGTTGAAGCCCAAACTGTATTTTCTAAAGTAGAAATAAACGCCGAAAGCAAACATGTATTCTATTGCAGTTTACCGATTCTTAGAGGTGTTGGCTGCTTTGGTTTTCTTTTATCTGTTTTCATCTGGTGATCTGGCCATACATTATACAATGTCCTTCTGCAGTTTTCCTTTTAGATATACCAGAACCAGGGGCGGACTGACCATTTGGAAACTCGGGCAGTGCCGGGGTCAGTAGGGGGCCCCATGAGATTCCCCTGGTACCTTTTTCATAGGCTTTTTTGAGTTTGAGCAAGGACACAGGGGCCCCATGATCCCCTATTGCCCAGGGGCCCCATGAGTTGTCAGTCTGCCCCTGACCAGAACCATATATTATGAAGTCAAACCTAAACGCTTTCCATGTGTATGGACTCATGTGGATGTGCTTACAAGAGGGCTTACGCCCTCAGCACGGGGTCTGTACATCAGAAAAAAATCCAAATACCACTGGGGGGAACTGACTTGGTGTCACAGGCATCCCTAGTGACACCAATGCAGTGATCAGTGCTAATAAAAAGCACTGACACTGTCCTAATGGCACTGAGCAGGAAGGGGTTAACATGGGGGGGTTATCAAAGGGTTTAACTGTGTGCTGTCTATGTGCTTCACTGTATGCACTGCTTTGCATGGCTCTGCTATGCAAAGCCATGCATAGCCGTGTGCAGGAGTTGATGGGAGAGAACTGTATTGTTTACTTCAGGGCTTAAAATTTCAAGTCCTGAGCTACTAGCTAGGCCTTAAGAGTTACTCGCCACCAACGCACACAGACACCTGTACACACACACAGACATGTACACACACGCACAGAGACACCTGTACACACACATACAGACACATGTATACACACACAAGCACATACAGACACGCATACACACAGATACATGTACATACACAGAGAGACACATGTACATACAGACACATGTACATCATTGGTGTCAGTGTGGTGGTGGTGGGGAGAATAGTGACCCATAATTGGTGTCAGTGCCGCCCTAGGCAAACGCCTTGTTTGCCTCGCAGCAAATACGCCCCTGGGGGACACACTCGCCCCCAACATAATTTCCACTCAAGCGAGTGGAAATTTCAAGGCCTAGTTTACTTACAGTTCTCTCCCTCCATCGGTAATGCTCCTCGATCACCAGTTGCCGGCAAGTAATCACCGGCCGAGACTCGGTGATTGACAGCCGTGGCCGCAGTAGGGTGCTTGTGCGCCCCCTACCCAGAAATGCAAAATCACGCATATATATGTGATTTGGCGCACCCCTGCTGCGCTGTAGCAGCATATCTGCTGTAGGACGGCAGGAAAGCGGTTACCTGATTATAAAGAATTAGTTGGGTTTGACTTAAATGTATTTAATTCTGCTAGTACATTTAACGCTCTTCCCCCAAACCCTAATTTCCCCCCCCGACCATGCTGCTGTCCCAGTGTGCCTCCTGTGCTGATTCTTACAGGAGATGTGTTACTGGCCAGATCAGGTGAAAAGCAGATGGTGGGGGGGCTCAAAAAAACCATTAATGAATGCAGCAACCACATCTTATGGTTGGTAAGCTGCAATAAATTACATTTTTGGTTTAATACCGCCTAAAGTTTTGAATAGAGTGATAAAGAGCTGAAACCTCCCCACTACAGGCCATAAAAGGTGTGATGGTATTTGAGTTATTGAATACCTTTTGGTGCAGGCTGTGTGAGCAGGGGGTCATAAGATTGGCACCAACAATTTGGAGGGTTCCAGGAGAAATGCATTCCAAAACACTGGGTGCTCCACTTTATATTCATTCTCTCTCAGGACAGGTGTTCTTCAAAACCTCAAACACACTAGACATGTTCCTAACGTAGCAATATACCAGAACCCCACTGAACCCAACAACTGTTTTTGAGGGTAATTATAGGATTTTTGCACTCACTGTACAGTGTGTTTCTTGGAGTGCATTGAGGGACATGACAAGTCACGTACTGTTAGTTATGTTGCCACATACAGGAGGACTGGACAAAAAAAAAGCTTAGTAGTGTACAATTTGTACAGCAAGTACAAAAATCCTATTTTCTTTTTTTGGCCATGGAGTGACAAATGAAGTCCTATACAGCAGTCTACAGGAGGATTAGACAAATACAAAATCTGTAGGCCTGTCCAGCATAACACCTTCTCTACCCAGCATGCTTCAGTTTGTAGCAAGCAGTACTAATAGCATATAAAGTGTTACTAAACCCACAACAGTAAAATCAGGCTGTATATACAGTAAAGCATGCTGGTTATACTCACTGTGGAACCTAAGGGGGTTCCTAAGAAGAGAGGATCAAACAGCATTTTTACACAATGTAAAACTGCTGTTTGATCCTGTCTTCTCTGATCCTCCCCTTTTTCCAGTGTTCCCGTTATCTCCTGATAAGACATATTGTGTGGAGATACTCTGCACATGCTCAATTTGATGTGTATTGCTAGAGAGGTTTTTTTTTTTCCTTGGGAGAGTGCATGTTAACAGCACAGAGCCAATCAGCACTGTGCAGGCAGAGGTCAGGGGTTCTACATCCTCCTAGAGCAGAAAACAACTCCAAGCTTTAACCAGTGCTCTTCTGAACACTGATATAAGTCACAAGACTGCTCTAACTGCTGATGAGAAAGGGTATTTAGAAGTTTATATTTACTAAAATAATTGTGTTTCCATGTTGTGTGTACTGTGGGAAACTGGATGTAGTGAAGGCAGGGTCCGGGGAGACCGGATGTAGTGAAGGCAGGGTCCGGGGAGACCGGATGTAGTGAAGGCAGGGTCCGGGGAGACCGGATGTAGTGAAGGCAGGGTCCGAGGCGTATTAACACGTAAAAATGGGAAAACAAACTATACTTACCTGCTGTGTGTATTGGCTTTGCACAGAGCAGCCCCAATCCTCTTCTTAAGTCCCTTGCTGGCACTTCTGGCTCCTCCCTCCTCCTGAGTGCCCCCAGAGCAGGCAGCTTGCGCTGGGGCACTTGTGTGCTCACTCCCAAGCAGGTTCTCTGTGTCTCTAAGACACACAAAGCATGGCTTGGCCCTGCCCCTGGCTCCCTCCTCACTGGCTGTGATTAGCAGCAGCAGCCGCCGCCATTGACTTCCGCAGTTGTGTTTCAGCCAAAGAGGAGGCAATGGCCTGAGAGAGCTGTGCACAGTGCTGGATTGCGATCGGCTTAGGTAAGCATTGGGGTGACAGTGGGATACTGAAACTTTTCTTTTCATGCATAAAGGTTAAAAACCTTCAGCCTTTCAAATCACTGTAACATAAACACAGGAGTTGGACCTGTGTCCCTGTAACACCAAAATAAAAAAAAAAAAAAAGGATGTCACACAGAGTACAACGTTCTTGTGCAAGGAGCAACAATGAAAACAGAAGTGGGGATAACCTGCAGCCCAAGAAATGCCTAAATCTGACCCTGGATGAGGCCTACCTCATAGAGGAATCTGTCAACATGACCAGAGGAAGGACAATGAACACATTGCCCAACACCCAGACAGAACGGTCATCAACCATAGAGCATGACTTAATATGGAGACAAGCACTGAACCATAGCCCAGGTGAGAAGCTGGAAAACCTGAATCCCCCACCCCAAGGGGTTGAACAATAGGAAATACACTGCTCAAAAAAATTAAGGTAACACTTTTTAATCAGAGTATAGCATCAAGTCAATGAAACTCCTGGGATATCGATCTGGTCAGTTAAGTAGCAGAGGGGGTTGTTAATCAGTTTCAGCTGCTTTGGTGTTAATGAAATCAACAACAGGTGCACTAGATGGGCAACAATGAGACGACCTCCAAAACAGGAATGGTTTTACAGATGGAGGCCACTGACATTTTTTTTCCCTACTCATCTTTTTTGACTGTTTTGTTTTGTACTAGTTTTGCATTTGGCTAGGGTCAGTGTCACTACTGGTAAGATGAGGCAATACCTGGACCCTACAAAGGTTAAACAGGCAGCCCAACTCCTCCAGGATGGCACATCAATGCATGCCATTGCCACAAGGTTTGCTGTGTCTCACAGCACAGTCTCAAGAGCATGGAGGAGATTCCAGGAGACAGGCAGTTACTCTGAGGAGAGCTGGACAGGGCTGTAGAGGGTCCTCAACCCATCAGCAGGACTGGTATCTGCTCCTTTGTGCAAAGAGGAACAGGATGAGCACTGCCAGAGCCCCACAACATG